AATGCCTATGATATCTTGGGCTGGACCAGGCCAAAACCAGGTGCCTACCCAATCTGGGTCTTCTATGTGGGGGGCAAGGACCCAATCACTTGAGCCACTACCTTTGTCCCCCAGGGTGCCTTTTAGCTAGAAGCTAGAATCAGGAGTGGAGCCAGAACCCTGACCCAGGCATTCTGATAAAGAATGTGGATGTCCAAAGCAATGTCTTTTTCTTTTTTTTTTTTTAATTTATTTATTTTATTTGAAAGTCATAGTTACACAGAGAGAGAAGGAGAGATGGAGGTGGAGGTGGACGTAGAGGTGGAGAGGGGTCTTCCATCTGCTAGTTCACTCCCCAGATGGCCTCAATGGCCGGAGCTGCACCGATCCAAAGCCAGGAGCCAGGAGCTTCTTCCAGGTCTCCCAAGTGGGTGCAGGAGCCCAAGGACTTGGGCCATCCTCCACTGCTTTCCCAGACCATAGCAGAGAGCTGGATTGGAAGTGAAGCAGCCAGGACTCAAACTGGCGACCACATGGGATGGCGGCACTGCAGGCGATGGCTTTGCCTATTACACCACAGTGCTAGCCCCAGCAATGTCTTAAGTTTTTTTTTTTTTAAAGATTTACTTATTTATTTGAAAGTCAGAGTTACACAGAGAGAGGAGAGGCAGAGAGAGAGAGGTCTTCCATCTGGTGGTTCATTCCCCAATTGGCCCGCAATGGCAGGAGCTGCACCGATCCGAAGCTAGGAGCCAGGAGCTTCTTCCAGGTCTTCCATGTGGGCCCAAGGACTTGGGCCATCTTCTACTGCTTTCCCAGGCCATAGCAGAGAACTGGATCGGAAGTGGAGCAGCCAGGACTCAAACAGGTGCCCATATGGGATGCCGGTGCTTCAGGCCAGGGCGTTAACCCCCTGTGCCACAGCGTCAGTCCCAGTGTCTTAATTTCTGTGCCAAATGCCCATCTCTGTTCTCAAATTTCTGATACAGTTGTCTATAGATTGGAATATTTGAGGTCAAATCTTTCCTTACACACGTGACTTTGGGAAATTTATTATTTTTTTAAAAGACTATTTATTTGATAGGTAGTGTAACAGAGAGAGCGAGAGAGATCTTTCATCTACTGGTCTATTCCTTAAATCTTTGTAATAGCCAGAGCCGGCCCAGACCAAAGCCAGGAGCCAGGCGCTTCTTCTGGGTCTCCCACATGGGTGCAGGCCCCAATGACTTGGACCATCTTCCACTGCTTTTCCAGACACATTACCAGGGAGCTGGATTGGAAGTAGAGCAGCTGGATCTTTTTTTTTTTTTTTTTTGGACAGGCAGAGTGGACAGTGAGAGAGAGAGAGAGACAGAGAGAAAGGTCTTCCTTTGCCATTGGTTCACCCTCCAATGGCCGCTGCAGCAGGCGCTCTGTGGCCGGCACACAGCGCTGATCCGATGGCAGGAGCCAGGTGCTTATCCTTGTCTCCCATGGGGTGCAGGGCCCAAGTACTTGGGCCATCCTCCACTGCACTCCCGGGCCACAGCAGAGAGCTGGCCTGGAAGAGGGGCAACCGGGACAGAATCCTGTGCCCCGTTTGGGACTAGAACCCGGTGTGCCGGCGCCGCAAGGCAGAGGATTAGTGAGCCAGGGCGCCGGCTGCAGCTGGATCTTAAACTCCAATCAGCACCATACTGGATGCCAGCACTGCAAGCAGCGGCTTTACCTGCTTCGCCACAGCAGCGGCCCCACAAACCTTTTTAAGTACTCTGAAATAAGAGCTTAAAAAGTACTTGGCCTGGAATATCAGTTCTTTAAATGTTGCCCATTAGTAGCCAAACATCCAAACTATGCAAAAATCTCTTGGTTTTTAATTGTTGTTAAATAAGCTCAAATTTCAGAAATTGTGTGGACCATGCAAAATGTTAGTTTTTATTTTTATTTTTTTTACTTTTATTTGAAAGGCAGAGTTACAGGGAGGGAGAAAGAAAGAGGGAAGGAGGGAGGAGGAGGGAGAGAGGGAGAATCCCCCATCTGCTGGCTCACTCCCCAAATGGCCAAATGGCTGGCTAAGGGCTGTACCAGGATGAAGCCAGGAGCCTGGAGCTTCCTTTGGTTCTCCCAAGTGGGTGACAGGGGCCCAATGACTTGGGCCATCTTCCACTGCTTTTCCCAAGTGCACTAGTAGGGAGCTGGATCAGAAGTGGAGCAGCTGGTAATTGAACTTGCGCACATATGGGATGCCAGAGTTGGAGGTGCAGGCTTAACCTGCTATGCTACAATGCTACAATGCTCGCCCCTATATTCAATTTTTTTTTAAGAGTTTTAATTTTATTTACTTGAAAGGCAGAGTTTCAGAGAGCGAGAGAGAGAGAGAGAAAGAGAGCAAGCGAGCGCACCACTGCAATGGCTGGGCTGGGCCAGGCCAAAGCCAGCAGCTAGGAGTTTCATCCGGCGGGTCTCTCACATGGGTGCAGGAGTCCAAGCACCTGAACCATCTTCCATTGCTTTCTCAGAGCCAGGAGCCAGGAGCTTCATCCGAGTTTCCCACGTGGGTGGGAAACTGAGCATTATTTGTGTGAATCATGTGTTCTGTGCATTGATTTATGTCTAACCTTTTTGTTAATATCTCACGGACTTGATTATTGCACCTTTATGTTGTTATAAAAATGTGTAGTGTGAATCCTCAAACTTCATCTTTAAAAAAAATTTATTTATTTGAAGAGCAGAGGGCCAAAGAGGGAGAAAAGAGATCTTTCATCTGCTGGTTCACTCCCCAAATGGTCACAACAGCCATGTTGGGGCCAGGCTGAAGCCAGGAACCAAGAACTCCAACCAGGTCTTCCATGTGGATGGCAAGGGGTCCAAGTACTTTGGCCATTTTCTATTCCTTCCCAGGAAACTGGATTGGAATTGGAGCAGATGGGACTCAAACTAGCACTCCAATATGGGATGTCAGCATTGCAGACAGTGGCTTAATCAGCTGCACCACATCAGCTCATTTGTCCCAACTTTTCAAAATTCTTTTGGCCATTCAATGTCCTTTGTCTATGCAAGGGTACTTCAAAAAGTACATGTAGGGGCCAGTGCTGTGGTACAGTGGGTTAAAGTCCTGGCCTGAAGCTCTGGCATCCCATATGGGCACTGGTTCTAGTCCCGGCTGCTCTTCTTCCAATCCAGCTCTCTGCTATGGCCTGGCTGGGATAGCAGTAGAAGATGGCCCAAGTCCTTCGTCCCTTGAACCCATATGGGAAACCTGGAAGAAGCTCCTGGCTCCTGGCTTCGGATAGGCACAGCTCTGGCCACTGCAGCCATCTGGGGAGTGAACCAGCAGATGGAAGACCTCTCTATATATAACTCTTTCAAATAAATAACAAAAAGAGTACATGTAAAAACACAGTCATTTATTTTCATGCAAAATTTTGAAATCTGTTAATTTTTAATAAGACATATTTTCCATGAACTTTTGGGATTACCTTCATATTAGCAAAAAATGTTCCTGGGATTCTGAGTGGAATTATATTACATCTGTAGTTCAATTGGAAAGAAATGGCATCTTAACTATGTTATCTTCCAGTCCATAAACACAATTGCCATTTATTTAGATCTTTTGATTTCTTCCACATGCATTTTGTAGTTTTCAGTATACAGAGTTTATTAGATTTATATACAGGTGTTTCATGTTTTTGCTAATGCTAAGTGGAATCTTTTAAAGAAGATTATTTATTTGAAAGACAGAGTTAGAGAGAGGGAAATACAGAGAAAGAGATCTTCCATCTGCTGGTTCACTCCTCAAATGACTGTCAACAACTGGGGCTTGGCAGGCTGAAGCCAGGAGCCAGCTTCTTCCAGGTCTCCCACATGAGTGCAGGGGCTCGAGCACTTGGGCCACCCTCTGCTGCTTTCTCAGGTACATTAGCAGGGAGCTAGATCATAAGTAGAATAACCAGGACAAGAACTGGCACCCATGTGGGATGCTGGCATTGCAAGCAGCAGCTTTACCTACTATATCACAATGCTGGCCCCTCTAAGTGGAATTTTTTTCTTTAATTTGAAAGGCAGAGGGAGAGGGATAAATGAATTTCCATCTGCTAGTTTACTCCCCAAATAGCCATAATGGCTAGGGGTGGGCCAGACGGAAGCCAGGAGCTTCATTCAGGTCTTTCACACGTGTACAGGGGCCATCTGCTGATGCTTTCCCAGGTGCACTAGCAGGGAGCCGGATTAGAAGCAGAGCAGCCAGGTCTGGAACCAGTGCCCACATGGGATGCTGGCGTTGCAGGAAGAGGCTTAACCTGCTATGCCACAGTACCAGCCCCTCTAAGTTGTATTTTTAAGATCACTTTTGGTTTCCAGTTGTTCATTACTAGCGTATGGATGTATGAATGATTTTTGTATGGTGAACTTCTTCCAATATTATTAAATTCATGTAGACAGTCTTCTGCAAATATGAACAATTCTATTTCTTACTTCCCAATGTGTATGTCTTTAATACTTTTCTTGCCTTACTGCATTGGTCAGTGAGTAATGGTGAGAGTGGACACCATTAAATGTCCCCAGTCTTTAGGGAAAACCATTCAGTTTTTAACCAGTAAGCCTAAAGTTAGCTGTAGGTTCTCATTTTTCTTAATTGTTTATATATTTGTTTAAAAGGCAGAGTGACAGAGAGAGAGAGAGAGAGAGATTGATTTTCCACTCAGTGGTTTACTCCCCAAACGTTCATAATGGCTAGGGTTGGTCCAGGCTGATGCCAGGAGCCAGGAATTCTATCCAGGTCTCCCACATGTATAGCAGGAACCCAAGTACTTGGCCATCATCTGCAGCAGGACGCTGGATCAAAAGTGCCAAGTAGCAAGAACTCCAATATGGGAAGGGAGGGGGGCATCCCAGGCAGAGGTTTAAGCCACTGCATCACAATCCCTGCCCCAAACTGTCAATGTTAAGTTGAACGGCTAATTTATGGCTGGTTAGCTTAACATACCAGAATATCACAATAAGGAGTTGAAAGTCCTGTGTAAAAAATACCAGTGACAACATGGTTGAGTTTATCAGTATAAATTTATCAACCTTACAAAAACATGCTATTAATGGTGGGCAAGTGGCATCAGTTCTACATAGAGATTTAATTTTATAGCTTAAGAAGCAATCATTCTCAGGGAGTGGGGAGAGAACAGGGGATGCCTTCCCTTTTCACTGATTCGATGTCATCTTCAAAATATGGAAAATAATACCAACCTCACAATGTTACAAATTCTGCAATTCTCATGAGTTCCTAAGAAGTGGACACCTCACAGTGAATCCTAGTTCTGTGGTCAGTGAGCCAGTACAAGGAGGACGAGCTACATAACTGCCCAAAACATTCGATGAAATGTATTTTCATTTAATAGTCTTGACTGTGGTGTTATTTAGATGAGAAAACAAGTTAACAAAAGTTAAATACCTCTAGGTAGTATTCAATTTACTATAAGTAGAATTTAATGTCATTATTTTTAAGTTAACTCTTTTCCCTCTCCTTTTCTAGATAAACAAAAATGGAAATCTGATTTTACAAACCAGAAATCTGAACACTTAAAATTCTACTAAAATAGCCTTTAATTTTCATTGTGGCATCTAAAGATTTACAAGCTGGGGGTGGGGGTGGTGGGAAGAGGAGAGAGACACTGTCCTTTAAGAACAAAGTTTTGAGCAAACTGTATTTGTTTATTTACAGTTGTAATTTATAAACAGTAACACAAACATTTTTACAATAATATTATGAAAAAAGTCCCATGGCTGAAATGGGCAAAAAAAAAAAAAAAAAGAGAGAGAAAGAAAGAGAGAGAGAGAGAAAGATTCAGGACATTTCTAAAGGGATTGGTAAAGGAAAGGGAAAAAAACGCAATACAAGAGTTTTAGGGAGTTATAAATATCAAATATTGTACCAGGTGCAATTTCATGCAAATGTCTTCAACCAAACTTTTTATTTAGATATCAGAACAAAATGCTTTGAATACTTATTTACTTGATTCTATTAAATAAATTAAAAAAAAACTGGCTGTTAACAGGGTACAACTGAATATTTCTCCTATCAACCCCTTAAGGATAATCCATTACATTTTAGGACATGGCAGATGGTGAGTAGTTACCACTTCCCTAATAGATTTTACCAAAAAAATCATCCAAAGACCCAAATGTGTTCCTAGATTTATTTCACTCACTGAAGGTGTCTAATATGGACTGCAGTAAACTAAATTGAGAAAGCTGCAAAATAAAGTATATAACTTTTCAGTTTTGTCACATTAAAAGAATAAAAATAGTTTCAAACTACTAGAACTTTAAGGAGAAGACAAAACCAACTGAAGAGAAAGAAAAATTTGGAAAGTGATGATAAAAACAATTGTAGTTTACACAGCTCTCTGATTATTTGGCTTATTATTAAGTAGATAATAATGTGCTCACAGACATAATCTCAATGAGGATAAATCAATGTGTGCTCAACACCTGTCTTGAAATATCCTAAATCAAATACTAGACTTGTAGTAAAGACCAATGACATCTTTACAGATATAATTCTGTGCTCAAGAGGTTCACTTTAATCTTAACATATCTATTACTTCTTACAATGCTATTAACTGCTCCCTTAGAAAATTGTAGGATGAAGCTTAGTACTTCTGAAGCACTTAATGTCCAAAAAATTAGATAATGGAGCAAAGGTGACTGGAACTTGAGTTTCAACATTTTAATAGCTGGGACTATGCTTTGAGTTGGCTGGAATCTTGATCCATTTCTCAAAAAGATTTCACGCTTTTTAAAAAAATAACAAATAGTTAAGCTATTTACGTTTTTGGTTTTGGATACTAATCAGTGGAAAAAACTAAATGGAGCAGTTAAAGAAGTCTCTTCAACTAATTTTACTTCCAATTTTCAGTGAAGACACTGCAAACAGATGTGTGTGGTTGCTTTTAAACCTGGAAGTGATGCATGTTCCCTTAAAACAGCTCTTCAAAACAGAACTGTATTCTGTACCCCTACTCCATCAGGGCACAGGGCCAGTTACTTCAGTCACTTGATAACTGACCTTTATAATAAATCATTTTATAAAACCAAAAATGCAAAATAAATTTTTAAAAAGGTTAACTGTCCAGAGGTTGATTATAATAATTTACATTTTCTTAGATCTGCTAATCAAGCACCCCCATGAGCAAAAAACAGGTCTTTGTTTAGTATTCAGTCAGGAAATACATATATTCATGTTTTTCTTGGTTGCCTTAATTTCATAATTTTCTTTTATATTAACTTTCCAAAGCATCCAAAACTTTCATGATCTGTTGTTTTATGGCTTTGGTGGCATCCCCTGCATTTGGAATCAAATACCTATGGGAGAAAAATACATTAATACAGTACTTTCAGGAGTGAGTTAGGATATCATTTCCAGTAAGTTTTCTCTGACTCACAGAGCCAGCAGAGATGCTCTCCTATGTATTCCCCGAAACCTATTTCAATATATATTCAAAAGCTTAATTTGAAAGAAAAGCTAAACATGAAAGCAATTTGACTTTTCAGAGTATTTTATACAATATAGAGCTAAAATTCTTTCAAGAAATATTAACTATACATCATAACTAGATAATAAAACACAAGAAAAAATTTTCTGCAGCCAGCAGATATGACCAACTTCAGTTATAATCTGATAATATCTAATTCTGAAGACAATGCCAACTTCAACACTTAGTAGCCTGACCTTAATTAAGTAATTTAAGTTTGATAAAATGGGAACTGTTAAAATTAACCATATTTTACAGAGGGTTATATACATTAAAGAAAATGTTGCCACTTCTGTTATATTAAAAAGGTGACATGCATGATAATTATGACAAAGTATCAATACAATAGATTAAATATCCATTTTCTTTTCCAGGAGCATAAAATACTGTTATTAAAATATTTTCTATAAAACCTAACAAAAATCCTACTGTATAATATCATTTGTATTACTTATGTAAGATATTACACAGAAATTCTAAGAAAAGGTGGGAGAGGAAATCTGGCTAACTAGTCTTAAATGCAAATGTCTATTATGACTATCTTCCAAAACTTTAGATTTAAAAAAAGGCACTGATTGATATATGTACACAAAAAACTTCAATTTCTTTAGCAAAATATATGGAAACCTTTAAAACAGAAGGTTCAATTACTGTCATGCATCAGTTACAATTCAAATGTGATTTGGTTAGGATTAATTTATAAGTTGATATCAGAATGTATGTACCCTCTGTCCCACTGAATCTACACGTATAAATTTATCTTGGGAAAATAAATTGGACAAGTATGTAAATATGGACCTTTAAATATTAGTAGTGAAACACTGGAAACAATCTAAATATCAATTAATGATATTGGTTAAATCAATCCCCTGAAAATATTCATATAATATTTATCATTAACAATAATTTATATTTATTAAATGTAAATAAATTCACAGTATTCTAGTAAGTTCTTTCAAAAAGCAGGAAAAAAAAAACCTCACCTGTATCACATTTACCTTGTTTTTAATATAGTCATATGTGGCTTAGCTTTGGGACCAAGTAATATGTCATTAGATGATTTCATCATGTGGTCATCACAGAGTTCACTTACACAAACCTAGATGGGACAGTCTACTATACAACTGGGCTATATGGTATAGCCTATTGTTCCTAGGCTACAAATATACATAGTAGGTTACTATTCTGAACACCACAGCAATTGAAACACAATGGCAAGTATTTGTGTATGTAAACATGTAAATACAGAAAAGGTAGAGCAAAAATATTAGGCAATAGAAATTTTTCAGCTCCATTGTAATATTATGGATCTGTGATGTATGCGATCCATCACTGATTGAAATATCATGATGCAGTGCATGACAGCATATGTATACATACGTACAGAAAGATACATAAAAAGATATTTATAGAAGTGTTAACAGGGTGGAATTTGGGAAACACATTCTTTATATGTTCCTTTATTATGTGAATATTTTCTCAACGTAAATATACACAAAATAGTGATTTTCATTTGTCTTATTCTCATGAGGTATATAAATAGTATAGAATAATGCTACTTGTTACTGTCAGTACAAGATGAAAAGAAATTGATTACTTTTCCCTTCCTACTGAAGTTGATTATTTAAAAGTGCTCAGACATTATCTTAAGCTACTTATTCAAGCATTCCTGTAAACAAGTAAGAAGCATAATCCCAAATCATGCAAGAACAATCTGAACTGATAACAAGGTGAAATGAATCACAGATCAAAATCAGGAGGGCTCTGTTTGCTTCTAACATAAGCTAGATGTGGGGAGGTGGGTATTTGTCTAGTGGTTAAGACATCAATAAAGACACCTGCATCCCACTTCAGAGTGCCTGGGTCTGATACCTGCTCTGGCTCAGACCCTAGATTTCTGTTAATGCAGACTCTGGAAGGCAGCAGGCAATGGATCAAGTGGCTGAGTTGCTGCCACCTACACGGGAGACATGGATTGAGTTCCTGGCACCCAGCTTCAGCCTGGCCCAGTCTTAGCCACTACAGGCATTTGAGAATAACAGATAGGAACTTTTGGTCCGTCTCTCTGGCTCTCAAAGAAATGAACTTAAAAAAATCTAAGGAGTAATTCAATAATTCTTGGGCTTCATGATTTTATCTATAGGTTAAAAATGGTTCAATATCAAGGTCTGTAGCCCTTGTACCAGTCAGTGAACTGTTAACTGGTCCAAAATAAGATAAGGAGAAGCATACCTCATACAAGACTGTAAATTAACTACTACAGTACCCAGCACCTAATTTATTGAAAGTTTGTCAAAACAGGAATAATCTGATGAAGGAAAATGAATACACTGACTTACAAAAAAAGGTAATGTTTATGGGTGAAATTGACATTCTTAGATTTATTTCTTACAGCCCTTTTCTCTACTGTTGAGGAACAGTGCTGTTTTCTTCTTAGTATTTGCTGAATTCTTTACTTAGTAGAGGGTTAAATTTATGATTATAAAATAAACAAAGCATGTCATTGTAAAAATTAAATGAACGAATAAGAAAGGAAGGAGGGAATGTGGGCATGCTCCTAAATCTGTATATATGAAACACATGAAATTTGCTCACCTTATATAAATAAAAAAATGAAAAATATCTGCAAGTTGTGACCCCCAAAATTTAAAAAAAAAACATATCGACTTACATTCTCAGGTAAGTTTCTTATTTCATTACAAACTAGCATTTAATGCAGCACTAGCGGGGATGATTCCTAAGCACCCTTGTGTCAAAAAGTTTATGAAATTTGCCATTGGACTTACTGAATTCATCATATATGCCTTAAGGATTGTAGAGAAAAAGACAGCAAAGAACACTAATAAAAGCAATTCAAGCATCCTGTTCCACCATGTATTCACCCAAACAGAGAAATTATGCTTAACAACGAACTGTGTTAACTCTGATAATATCATCTTATGAGAATTCTTACCTTTCAATTGCCAAGATTTCTATTCCTGAAGCACTGCTGTTTCCATACTTGAAAGTAATTAGCTCAGGATGTTTTTTTTTGGATGTAATTTTAACTACAGAATTTAGTGCTTGTCGAGACTGTATATACGCCAATCCTTTCCGCGAAAGAATCTCTCGTAAACAGTACATATGTGTTGCAGTAACCAACAGATGACTTGGCAGAAAAACAATGAAAGAAAAAAGAATTTTAAATAAATGCAATTCAAAACAAGCATCACTTCAACAGCTCAAATTATAAAAACATTCAATTCTAAATTACTTTTCAGTCAAAAAAAGTTCTAAAAAGTGAGCTGTGTAAGTTTTAAATTCTTCTTTGATTTTATGCAAGATCACTGTTTCATTAACAGATAAACCTGCAACTACTTAAAAGGTGTAATATTTATAAAATTTAAGTGTGGGGGCCGGTACCGCGGCTCAATAGGCTAATCTTCCGCCTTGCAGTGCCGGCACACCAGGTTCTAGTCCCAAATGGGGCACCGGATTCTGTCCCGGTTGCCCCTCTTCCAGGCCAGCTCTCTGCTGTGGCCAGGGAGTACAGTGGAGGATGGTCCAAGTGCTTGGGCCCTGCACCCCATGGGAGACCAGGATAAGCACCTGGCTCCCGGCTTCGGATCAGCGCAGTGCGCCGGCCACAGTGGCCATTGGAGGGTGAACCAACGGTAAAGGAAGACCTTTCTCTCTCTCTCTCTCTCTCTCTCACTGTCCCCTCTGCCTGTCAAAAAAAAAAAAAAAAAAAAGTGTGGGGCCAGCACTGTAGCAGGTAAAGCTGCCGCCTGCAGGGTCAACATCCCATATGGGCACCGGTTCAAGTCCTGGTTGCTTCAGTTCCAATCCAGCCCTCTGCTATGGCCTGGGAAAGCAGTGGCAGATGGCCAAGTCTTTGGGACCCTGCATCCACATGGGAGACCAGGAGGAAGCTCCTGGCTGCAGGCTTTGGACTGGCGAAGCTCCGACCATTGTGGCCATCTGGGGAGTGAACCAGCAGATGCAAGACCTCTAGCTGCCTCTGCCTTTGCCTCTCTGTAACTCTGCCTTTCAAATAAATAAATAAATAAATCTTTAAAAAAAGTTAACTGTGATATAGAAATCATAAAACAGATTTTGTATTGAAATGGAATATACTACTTTGCAGGCTTTTCACAGTTTTATCTATATTCAGAAACTATTCTGATTTAACACACCACAGCCTCTAAATCAAACAATACTAGGCAATAGTTGGGTTTCTTTATGTATTTTGAATATTTTGTAATTTCATCCTAAAGGCAAAATGAGCACAGAATTATGAACATCCTCCTTATACCTCAGCTCACTTTAAAAACAGCGACAAACTCTTACATTTTTGAATGGAATAAAAGACACATATCACAAAGGTCTAGAATGGGAAACATTCTGCAGGACAACTGGCCTGGACAAAAATGATTCATTCACTGGAAAACAATGAGGAAGCAAGGGGAAAGAGGAAGGCAAGGGGTGTGGTGTACTCCTGCATACTGGATGAGACTAAAAAGATATAATAGGCAAATGCAATGTGTCAACCATGACTGGGTCCTGGATTAGGAAGAAAAAAGAGACTACAAAAAGATACTTTGGAAATACTCTGAAATACTCTGAAAAATATGTTAATTTAAAACTTTTTTAAGGTGAGGTGATGGCTCTGGAGTTGTACAAGAGAATGTTCATATTGTTGGAAGACTGATGCTGAAACATTTAGGGGTGGAGAGCCACATCTGTAAGTTTCCTATGAATGGTTTGACAAAAAGGAAGTGTATGTGTGCCTGTGGATGGGGTGGTGTAAAAAGATGTTGAGAGCTGGTAAATCTAGTACAGTATTATAAAAGTACTCATTTATTATTTCTTTGACATTTTTAAAATTTTCAAAATAAAAAATTATTTGAAATATTTTTATAAATTGAAACATGGAACAAGACAACAGAAGGAAATATTTTAGTGTATTTAGACAAATAAAATTTTTGTAGTTCAGTTTTATACCCTTAAATTCCCCAAATTTTATTTTACTTCTGAAGAAGGCAGTAATAAAAGTACCTAGGAAACATGTGTCCACTTTCTTTTACTTCTTTACAAGGAAAATGATGCTTGATGTCTGGCTTGTTTATCCAAGTCTGGATGTTTACAACCTCTTTTCTATCATCATCTGACATCGACGAACTGTCAATTTCATCTGTAAAGATTTAAAATGTCAACAGTTGTTATTATCAACTTTCAAAATGATCTATTTCTTAATAGCCTGAAAAAAATTCAGTAATATTTTGAATACATGGATTGAAAAAACAAACTACAACTCTAATTTGGCTACTCTCTGAGCATTTCCATATGCATAATTATTATGTATGGTAAAAAAAGTCAAGTGACAAGACTAAGAATATACTTTTAAATGTTAAACTACTTGGAGGATCGACTTTTTGAAATATATATAGATAACATAACTGTGATCTGACTAGTCCATAGAAAGAAAGCTGAATTGTCCAAAAATAAGCAGCTATTGATATTGAAGGTAAAAACAGCAGAGTTCTTTTTCTCTTGCTGGTTTCTGGTTTTAAGGAAAATAACAAGTCAATCTTACGATAATTAAGTGAAGATCTAGTTTTTTTTCCATGAAAGAAATATAAAACATTGTAATTACTATATTTTTCTAAGAAAGGGTATTACAGTCCCTAAGGTTAATAATTATAAATACTCCTACTTTTGCTTAATAAATACTTCAAAATATAGACATAATGAAATCTCATGTATCCACATTTGAGCTTAAATAAAACTGAAACCCTCATGTGCCTCTCCTAAACCACATTACCACCCTTTCCTCATGAAGAATTAACGACTTATCTGAATTACATGTTAACAATTCCATACAGTGTATGAATATCCCTAAATAAATAATGTTATGTTTTGCAGTTTAAATAACATGTATATAAAAAGCACTCTAGGAGCAGGCATTTAGTCAGTGGTTAGGCTGCCAGTTGGGACATCCATGTCCCACACTGGAGGGCTTTAGTTTTTGTGCAGGCTCCACTACCAATTCCAGCTTCCTTAGTTCCTCCCTTAGGAGGAACTAGGGAAGGCTCAAGCACTTGGGTCCCGGCTGCCCTTATGGCAATCCTGGACTGAGTTCCTGGCTCCTGGCTTCGGATTGGTCTTTCCCAGATTGTTGTCAGCATTTGGGGAGTAAACCAGGCAGCAGATGGGAACTCCTTGTGTCAGTCAGTCTCTGTCTCTGTTTCTGCTTTTCAAATAAATAGTTAAAAACCAAAAACCAGATTACTTTATTGCATGCTTTTGCCACTACTACGCTACTTCCAACATTGTGAAATTTATCCATGTTGATAAACATACTTTTAGTTTTTATTTTTATTACTGTGCAGTTTTCCAAGGAGTAAATATATACATGTGCATCAACAAATGTAAATGTACCACAATTTATTCATCCATTCACTTCTTTTGCTAATGGAGGTTGAGATATTCAGAGACAGACAAAGACAGATAACAAGAAGATGGCAAAAGAGAGGGAAAAAAAGAAGAAAAAGACACTATCAGAAATAGCACATTTTGGGGCCAGCACTGTGGCATAGTATGTTAAGCCTCCACCTGTGATGCTGGGATCCCATATGAACGCAGGTTAGTCCCGGCTGCTCCACTTCGAATCCAGCTCCCTGCTGATGGCCTGGGAAAGCAGTAGAAGATGGCCCAAGTGATTGGGCCCCTACACTCACGTGGGAGACTTGAAAGAAGCTCTTGGCTCCTAGCTTTGGACTGATGCAGCTCCAGCAGTTGCGGCCATTTGAGGAGTGAAACAGTGAATGGAAGACCTCCCTCTCTCTGCCTCTACCTCTCTATGCCTGTAACTATGCCTCTCAAGTAAGTAAATCTTTAAAAAAAAGAAAGAAAGAAATAGCACATCTACCTCAATCCAAGTTTCTAGAAGGTGATTTTGTACTATTCTGAAAACACCAAATGTGAGCCACTCTAATCTAGCATTCTTACTGTTAAAAATTTATCCTCTGGATTTACTTTGAAAAGTTCACCTATGTATATGCATAAAATATCTCTTGACATTTGAAGCAAACATAACTGGAAGACCACTAGTATCAACTGGAAGAATACTGGTTAAATAAATTATGGAATGTTCATATGATAGAGAATGAGATAAATGGCCTGAAATGCAACATATACTACCAAGTAGAAAAAGAAAAGTGAGATTTAGGGAGTCTTCCCTCCACCCCCTCATTTTGTATACATTTATTGTTTTTTTTTCCTAAGTCAATACACATATCAAAATTAACTGTGATTAATTAATCAGGGTCATTTCAGCAGTAAGATTACAAACTAAATATTTCCCTGGCACAATATCCCCACCTGGTGGCTCCTGAGTACATTGCCACCAGTTTCAAATGGCTTTTTTCAGATGTTCCAATTTTGGAATTCTCTGAACTTCTATAACTCTCAATTTCCTAGGTGGGAAATTAGAGATTAAGTTCAATCCCAAAGATATTCAGTTTAAACACTTTTTAAAAAAAAGATATATTTATTTATTTGATAGTGAGAGTTATACAGAGAGACAGATCTTCCAGCTACTGATTCATTCCTCAGATGGCAGCTAAGAGCTAGGGCTAAGCCAGGCTGAAGCCAGGAGCCAAGGAGCTTCTTCCCGGTCTCTCATCTGGGTGACTACAGTCTAAGAATTTGGGCTATCTTCTGCTGCTTTCCAAGGCCATTACCAGAAAGCTGAATGCTGGTGTCGCAGGTAGCGGATTTACCCGCTACACCACAATGCCAGTCCATTAAACACTATTTCTACACTGAAAACCCCAAAATATCATCAGCTTGCTCTTCCTGTGAGCTGAAGACTCTTAACTGCCAAATCAACATTTTGGCTTGGATTTCTAATGGGCACAGTTTTAAGATGTTGAAAACCAAAGTCTTAATAGAAAGCCATATTCTCCAATCTTTCTATAAAATCTCATTTTTTTTTCAAAGTAGTTGTCAGGCTAGTCGCTGTATAACCTCTAGAACCACTTCCTGTGACTGCGGAAAGCAGTCTTAGATAAGTGAATTACTACACCTGTGTCGTATTCCTCTTCATCCCCAATGCTGAAAACTGGCTTTACACCACGGTAAGGCTTGCCCACTCTGTCACTGCTGCTCACATGCCTGTTTTAGGGAGAAAAAAACCCGTAACTTAAAATGTTATCAAAGACTTTGATCAAGCATCATTTGAATGTTTATAAACAAAATGTGAATGTTCATCTCCCCCCCTATATTCTACCCATAGTTTTGGGATAGCCATGTTTAGGAAACTGAAAGACAAAGAAATTATGTTAGCAAAAGTAAAATAAGGATGGGACAGGTGAATATTCAACATAAACAAATTAAATTTTCAATATTCATATTAAAACTAACACCTAGATCTGTTTGATATTAGGAAAATCACTTATCTTCTTTGTTCCTGTTTCCTCATCTATAAAATAAGATTGAGGCTGGTATCATGGTGAAGCAGGTCAAGCCGCTGCCTGCAACACCAGCACACATATAGGTGCCAGTTTGAGTCCCAACTGCTACACTTCTGATTCAGCTTCCTACTGCTGGCCTGGGAATAATGGTGGAGGATGGCCTGGGTGCTTGGACTCCTGTCACCCACATGGGAGACCCGGATGGAGCTCCTGGCTCTTGTGGCCACTTTGGGGAGTGAACCAGTGGAGAGAAGACCTCTTTCTCTCTCTGTAACCCTGGCTTCTAAATAAATGAGTAAAACCTTTTTTGTTTTTAATGATAACACTGTTATCCATGCTTCAGGTTTATTGTGAGAATTAGCTAGTTTTGGGGGATGGGAAATAAAGCTCTTAGAAAAACAGCTGGTATACTAAGCTGATCTTCTGTATATTAAGATAATCGAAAATGAATCTTGATGTGAATGGAAGGGGAGAGGGAGTGGGAAAGGGGAGGGTTGTGGGTGGGAGGGACGGTATGGGGGGGAAAGCCATTGTAACCCATGAGTCGTACTTTGGAAATTTATATTCATTAAATAAAAGATAAAAAAAAAAAAAAGAAAAGAAAAACAGCTGGTATATAGCAAGTTTTACATAAATGCTTGTTAGAAAAAAAAGGTATGGAGCTAAATATTAGAATATGAATATTCTAATAGGAATGCTCAAGTCTTTTCATATAGGTACAGATGTCTTATGGTTTGTCCTCCAATTTATTACTACTACTTTTGTTTTAATAGAAATTAAGATTTAACCTGTTGTGCTACAGTGCCGGCCCCCAGAAACTAAGATTTAAATACGGTTGCATAAATATAAATATAAGCAAATCATGACAATTTAACCTGCCTTTTTTTTTTTTTCAAGTGGCAGAGGCATAGATAACTTGTAAACTCAAATTTAGTTCCACTAAAAATGTTACCCCTGTTTTGAATATCTGTTTACTTTTTAATTAATACAAAATCAACTAAAGGAAAATTAAAATGTTAACAGCAAATACCACATGTTTCTGGAGAAAAAAATCATGGTTTATTTGTAGAATTAGGTTTAGTTAAGATTACCTACTACACTGTAAGACTATAGTTGTTTTTCTTTTTGGCATATATGAAGACATCCAGAGTCTTCTATTTCAAGAGATATACAGGGGCTGGCGTTGTGGCATATGGGCGCTGGTTCGAGTCCCGGCTGCTCCACTTCTGATCCAGTTCACTGCTATGGCCTGGGAAAGCAGTGGAAGATGGCCCAAGTCCTTGGGCCTCTGCACCCATGTGGGAGACCCGGAAGAAGCTCCTGGCTCCGGATTGGCACAGCTCTGGCCGTTGCGGCCAATTGGGGAGTGAACCAGCGGATGGAAGACCTCTCTCTCTCTCTCTGCCTCTCCTTCCCTCTCTGTGTAACTCTGACTTTCAAATAAATAAATAAATCTTAAAAAAAAGAGAGAGAGAGAGATACAATGTGGAAAAAACAAATCAAGTTTCATGTCTACTTAGTTTTAGAATTCAATTTTCCCAGAATAGATCATATCTATATTTTAAATATTTTTAGAAAAGTATCATCAATTAAAATCTTATTATAACCTAATTTTTGTGAAGTAGATTTGCATCTTTACTTCTTCCAAAACAACACTTCTTAATAAACAAAAACAGGGGCCAGTGCTGTGGTGTAGTAGGTTAAGCCTTCACCTGCAGCACTGACATACCAAGTCCTGGCTGCTCTACTTCTGATCTAGCTCCTTGCTAATGGCCTGGGAAAGCAGTGGAAAATGGCCCCAATTGCTTGGACCCCTGTACCCATATGAGAGACCTGGAAGAAGTTCCTGGCTCCTGGCTTTGGATCGGTCCAGCTCTAGCAGTTACGGCCATTTGAGGAGTGAACCCGCAAACAGAAGACTTTCTCTCTCTGTAACTCTACCTCTCAAATATATATATATATTAATATATGTATTAAATATATATATTTAATAGAGTGTTTAGGGGCTGGCATTATGGCATAGAGTGTTAAGCTGCTGTGTGTGATGCTGCCATCACATATCAGATGTTGGTTGAAGTCCCCTGCTACTCTGCTGTCACAGTATGGCTTCATGTTAATGCACTGGGAAAGAATCAAAAGACGGCCCAAGTACTTGGGCCCATGCCACCCACTTGGGAAACCAGGATGGAGTTCCTGGCTCCTAGCTTCAGCCTGGCCTAGCTGTAGCTGTTGTGGCCATCTGGGGAGTGTACCAGCAGATGAAACACTTCTTTCTCTCTGTATTTCCCTCTCTCTCTGTTCTGCCATTCAAATAAACAAATAAACAAATCTTTAAAAGGAGGGTTTAGTGTTTAACAAATATTCTCTGGGACTTTCAAACTACTTAAAAACACAAAGCTCATTGCTTGATTAAATTACAGGTTATGAGATGGTTTGGTCTTATATTAAAACAAATAATATACAATTATTCTATAAATTATAAAACTATGTTCATTAGAAAGAAAAAAAGGAAATTACTAACTCAAGCACCTTTGAGAATCAGATTCAGATTTCTATCAGAAGGCAATGACAAAAGTAACAGCTTTATCTAAAATAAAACTGTTTAAGTGGCACTTAGATTAACAAATTCTAATGAGATTAAACTATAGGTTCTCTATTGATACTAAAACATAATTATACTGGGCCGGCGCCGCAGCTCAGTAGGCTAATCCTCCACCTAGCGGCGCCGGCACACCGGGTTCTAGTCCCGGTTGGGGCGCCGGATTCTGTCCCGGTTGCCCCTCTTCCAGGCCAGCCCTCTGCTGTGGCCAGGGAGTGCAGTGGAGGATGGCCCAGGTGCTTGGGCCCTGCACCCCATGGGAGACCAGGAAAAGCACCTGGCTCCTGGCTCCTGCCATCGGATCAGCGTGGTGTGCCGGCCGCAGCGCGCCGGCCACGGCGGCCATTGGAGGGTGAACCAACGGCAAAAGGAAGACCTTTCTCTCTATCTCTCTCTCTCACTGTCCACTCTGCCTGTCAAAAAAAAAAAAAAAAAACATAATTATACTGTTAACATTCGAAAGTAACAAAGATAATGTTTGAAGAAGAAATGCTTGAAGAAGAAAGCAAGAATGAATAAAGACATAATCTTTTTAATGAATAACAAGTTATTCATTAGATTTAAAATACAAGGAAAATTTTCATGAACACAAATGCTAAGGACTGATGAGATTTCCTAAAAGATTGGCTAAAATGAAATTTAATAGCTGGACTATTTAAAAAGCAATGTATTGGGGCTGATGCTGTGGCATAGTAGGTAAAGCCTCCGACTGGGGTGCTGGCATTCTATGTGCACCAGTTCATATCCTGGCTGCTCCTCTTCTGGTCCAGCTCTCTGCTAATGGCCTGGGAAAGCAGTAGAGGATGGCTCAAGTGCTTGTGCCGCTGCACCTATGTGGGAGATCCAGAAGCTCCTCACTCTTGGCTCCTGGCTTTGGACAGGCCCAGCTCCGGCTGTTGCAGCCATTTGGGGAGTAAAGCAGCACATGGAAGACCTCTTTCTTTTTCTCTCCCTCTCTCTGTAACTCTGCCTCTCAAATAAATAAATACATCTTACAAACAAACAAACAAAAAAAGGTAGTATATTTATAATTTTTTGCCAGGTCACAGAAACATCTACAAGGTAGTTTGGCTTGGTTGTAACTTATTTCAGCAACCTCAGCAAGAAATCAAACTCATCCAAACTTTTCACTAAATTCTATTTTCAAACAAATATACCAGCTTATGAACAACTGAAGATAACTGATGTTAAAAAAGTAACTTGGGAGAAAACTTGGGAGTTAAATAAAGTTAGACTAATGTAATGATCTTATATTAGGAGAAAGGTAATTCACAAATATAATATAATTTTAAAGAAGGAATTTTCTTTAAAACAGCCTTAGGAAGGGGCAGGCGTTTTGTCCAGTAGTTAAGGAATTCATTTGCCATGTCAAAGTTCCTGGGTTTGGTTCCCAGCTCTGGCTCCTGACTCTAGTTCCCTTTTAGTGCAGGCCCTGAGAAGCAGCAGTGATGGCTCAACTGGTTGGGTTCCTGTCACCTAAATGGAAGACCTGGATTGAGTTCCTAGCTGCTGGCTTCAGTCTTGGCCCAGCCCCAGCCATTGTGGGCACTTGGGAATGAAGGAAAGGATGAGGGGCAGCCTCTTACTCTCACTGCTTCTCAAATGAATAAAAATTAAAGAAAAAATAGTTAAAATTATAATAGATGCTCTGTAATTGATATTGTATAGGAACAGTCACAAAAAATAAAAACTCTCATCATCTAAGTTATTAGAAAAACGCCATTATCTTTAAAAGTAATATGTCTATAGTCACCGAAAGTGTTGAAATGATTTGAGGAAAAAGTCAACTCTCTGTATTCTAAAGCTTAACTTACATCAAAGTATGACTAGAATGTCTTTTTAAATATTCATATTTCTTGCTACAGTTGATATTCTAATTTACAAAAAAATTCTGTGAATATCAAAACTGTAATACCATATAGATTAAGATGGTAAATTTCTTTTCCTCATCCTAATTGAAGATTCAGTAGATTTTCAAGCCTTAAACTTATCAAATATTTATGTCTTAATGACAAGCACACCACTTAATGTGGGCAAAGAAGTGATGGATTATACATTAAAATATCCACCATGGTCTAATTTCTTTCAAGAAAAACAAAACATTTAAGCCCAGGTTCTTTTGGAAATATTACTTCACCAACCTAAATATATACATCTCAAGAAAAATCTAAAATTATAAAACTACATCATATACATGAAGTGTATCTACTTTTAGGTATTGTGATTTTTCTCTACTGTTAAGGTAGGCAACAGAAGTAAATGATAGCCAAAGCTAGTACTTTGCCAGCTCTCAACTACTGCCTACTTTGCTTTGTATCTCTTTCTCCTTTCTCAGAATAAAAACTCCAGGTTTCATGAAATTCTTAAGTTAGAATGAACTTGCTTTTCTTCTGAGGAATCAGAGATACAAAGACACATGCAAGAAATAAAAAGCATTAAAGTGATCAGGCATAAACCAAAAAGACAAACAGATCAACTGGCATGGCACACTCCTACAAGCAGAATGAGACAATCTGAGCTGTTGAGATAGCTGCATGAGATGTTAGCCAAGATGGCACAAGGCTTAAAGATGGCATGGGACATGCTAAAAGAAAAGGACAATTTCATAAAGCTGCTCTGCTCATTGGCTTACCGCTCTGTACATGATCTGTCTGGCCAAGGAAGATTGAAAGACATTCTACAGCAAATTGAGGTAAAGGACAGAACAAAATGATTATAAAAAAATGCAAAAGTTTTAAAATAAAAATACAGTATAATCAGTTTTTGTAATCCACAACGTACAATATACAAAGAAAAGATCTCAATCATCGTAAGTACAAAGAAAAATAAAAAAATAGCTTTAAACAATACTCTTAAAAAAACAAGTCTTTTTGACATAATTATCACCAGCCCATTTTAAAATAAAATTTTAAACATTCCTGCTATAAAATTTAGCAATTAACAGCTACCTAATTTGGAAACACTAATGTAAATGGAAAGAGTTAGGCTTTGAGAGCAGGCATAACTATATTAAGCAAACAAATCTCTCTGGCCTATTAAAACACTTAATAGTTAACAGTTGACCATTTCAGATAAAGTACCATTTTTTAGATTAGTGAAAACAATGTTATTTTCAGTGCTATTTACTAAAATGGGTGGGGGTTGGGAAGCACTAAAAGACAAACAAAAAATTCCTGATATTCAGTTCTTAAAGTCAATTATTTCTTTCGACTTTCCCAGGATACTACAAGTTAAAACATGACAATGAAATAAAATAGTAAAACACATTTTGGAGATCAAGTTTGCTTAGAAATGAAATCTGTGGGGCTTGCATTGTGACATAGCACGTTAAGCCTCTATCTATGACACCCAAATGCGTGGCTGGTTAGAGAACTGGCTGCTCCACTTCTGATCCAGTTCTTGTTAATGTGCCTGGGAAAGCAGTGGAAGAAGGCCCAAGTGCTTGGGCCCCTGCACCCATGTGGGAGACCTAGAAAAAGCTCTGGCCGGCGCCGCAGCTCACTAGGCTAATCCTCCGCCTTGCAGCGCCGGCACACCGGGTTCTAGTCCCGGTCGGGGCACTGGATTCTGTCCCGGTTGCCCCTCTTCCAGGCCAGCTCTCTGCTGTGGCCAGGGAGTGCAGTGGAGGATGGCCCAAGTACTTGGGTCCTGCACCCCATGGGAGACCAGGAGAAGTACCTGGCTCCTGCCATCGGATCAGCGCGGTGCGCTGGCCACAGCGCGCCGGCTGTGGCGGCCATTGGAGGGTGAACCAAAGGCAAAGGAAGACCTTTCTCTCTGTCTCTCTCTCTCACTGTCTACTCTGGCTGTCGTAAACAAACAGGAGATAAAAAAAGAAAGAAAGAAAAGAAAAAGCTCTGGATCCTGGCTTTTGCCTGGCCCAATCCTGGCCATTGTCACCATTTGGGGAGTGAAATAGTGGATCAAAGATTCTCTCTCTGTCCTCTCCTCCTATTTCTTTAACTCTGCCTTTCAAATAAATAAAAAATAAATCTTAAAAAAAGAAGAAATGAGATCTGTGTTATAATTGCAAAGGAAGCTTTTAACTCTAGGAACAAGAAAGAATTTTTAAAAAACCTGTAAAAAATACATGTATTAATATATTCTCAGTTACAGTAAGAGACAATACATTCTTAAACTTCTTTAACAATTGTTAGGTATGTCTCTCATAATTCATGGGGAAGTAGGTTTTATTTATATTCTGTAAACAAAATTCTATGAATACATAAACTTTTACATTTGAGAAAGCAGGATTCTGCTATATTTAACATGACCAATTCCTCTAGGTTTTCAAAACTTGGACCAGAGGAAGAAGTTCCTGATGAGATCACTTCATTTAATAGATAATTCCCCATCCATCTGACATTTGGGAAACAGTTATTATATGAAGTGTAAAATACAGGAACACTTTGAATTTTTTTAATGGATGGCATGAATGGACAGATTCGTTAATTTCTTACTCTAACCAAATAGTAATAAGATACATCTTGAAATTATAATGAAATAATAGAAAAATGTATCTTAAGACCCTTTTCTAGAACAAATTCAACTAATATTAACTTGCTTTCAGATATATTTTAGTTTCAATTACACATCATAAACTTGTCTAAGCAACTCACCGGTCCACAGGAGTAGATGTATTCTCAATAAAACTGATAACTTTTTCCCTAACATTAACAGATTTTGTCTTCAAAGCCACAGTCATTTTATTTACTAGTGATTTCACTCCTCTATCATTTGAGCCATTAGAAGATTCACCCTGAAAAAACAAAACAAAAGAACATACATGGATAAACTGCTCTCTGAATGATCAGCAGATCCACTACTGCTAAAGGTTGTCTGTCTGTTGCATTCCTGCCAAATTCATTTGCTGAAGCCCTAACTCCCAATACATTTCAGAATGTGACTGTATTTGGAGAGAAAGCCCATTAAGAGTTAAGCATGATTAAATATCATACGGGTGGGCCCTAATTCAATCTAAGTGGTCACCTTCTAGGAGAGAGAAACAGGGATATATGCAAAGATAAAGTCATGTTAAGATTTGGGGGGAAAGATGGTCATATGCAAGCCAAGCAGAGGGGCCTCAGGATAAACAAAACCAGCCAACACCTTCACCTTGAACTTCTGGCTTCCAAAACAGTGAGAAAATCAACTTCTGTTGTTCAAGTCACCCAGCCCTTGTGGGATATTTGTTATGGCAGCTCTAAAAAAACCATTCATCAGCTTTTCAAGAACATAGGGTGAAGAGGCAGGTATTGAGGTACAGGGGGTGGAGCTGCCACCTGCATCCCATATCAGAGTGCTTGTTTGAGTTCCAGCTACTCTGCTTCAAATCCTGCTTACTGATAATGAGGCTAGGAAGGCAGCAGATGATGCCCATGCGCTTGGGTACCTGCCACCCATGTGAAAGACCTGGGTGGAGTTCTGGGCTCCTGGCTTCAGCCTGGCCCAGCCCTGGCTGTTGCAGACATCTGGGGACTAAGTCTGCAGACAGAATATCTCTTTCTCCATCTCTCCTGCTCTCTGTCACTCTTTCAAATAATTCTTAAAAAAAAAAAAAAAAAGTAAAAATAGAAAACTGTATTTGCACATATATGTGTGCATAGTCTTTTTTTTTTCCTTCAAGATTTTATTCATTTACTTGAGAGGCAGAGTTACAGACAGACAGAGGAAGAGAAAGAGAGAGGTCTTCAATCTGCTGGTTTACTCCCCAGATGGTCACAATGGCTGCAGTTGGGCTGATCCAAAGCCAGGAGCCAGGAGCCAGGAGCCCCACCTGGGTCTCCCACATGAATGCATGGGCCCAAGCACTTGGGCCATCTTCGACTATTCTCCCAGGCCACAAGCAGAGAGCTAGATTGGAAGAGAAGCAGCTGGGACATGTAGGAGACCTGGAAGAGGCTCCTGGCTTTGGATCAGCCCAGCTCCTGACATTGCGGCCATTTGGGGAATGGACCAGTGGATGGAAGATTCTCTCTCTCTCTCTCTCCCCCCCCCCCCCTCTGTAACTCTTTCAAATAAATAAAATAAATCTTTTAAAAAATATATGGCCGGTGCCGCGGCTCACTAGGCTAATCCTCTGCCTTGCGGCGCCGGCACACCGGGTTTTAGTCCTGGTCAGGGCACCGGATTCTGTCCCGGTTGCCCCTCTTCCAGGCCAGCTCTCTGCTGTGGCCAGGGAGTGCAGTGGAGGATGGCCCAAGTACTTGGGCCCTGCACCCACATGGGAGACCAGGAAGCACCTGGCTCCTGCCTTCGGATCAGCGCGGTGTGCTGGCCGCGGCAGCCATTGGAGGGTGAACCAAAGGCAAAGGAAGACCTTTCTCTCTGTCTCTCTTTCTCACTGTCCACTCTGCCTGTAAAAAAAAAAAAAAAAAAAAAAAAAAAAGAAGAAGGAAGGAAGGAAGGAAGGAAGGAAGAAATAAATATATATAATAGATGTGGATACAATTCTTTCCTAAAAATTATTTATTTTATTTGAAAGACAGAAAGCCAGAGATGGCCACAGGGATTGAGATCTCAAACACTGGTTCACTCCCCAAATTTCTATAACAGCCAAAGCTGTGCCAGGCAGAAACCAGAAAACAGAAACTCAATCTGAGTCTCCCACATGGGTGGCAGGGACTCAAGTACTTGAAACATCTTTTTTTTTTTTTTTTTTTTTTTTTTTCTTTTTCTGACAGGCAGAGTGGAGAGAGAGAGAGACAGAGAGAAAGGTTTTCCTTTACCACTGGTTCACCCTCCAATGACCGCTGTGGCCGGTGCGCTGTGGCCGGCGCACCACGCTGATCTGAAGCCAGGAGACAGGTGCTTCTCCTAGTCTCCCATGCGGGTGCAGGGCCCAAGCACTTGGGCCATCCTCCACTGCACTCCCTGGCCACAGCAGAGAGCTGGCCTGGAAGAAGGGCAACCGGGACAGAATCCGGCGCCCCGACCAGGACTAGAACCAGGTGTGCCGGTGCCGCAGGTGGAGGATTAGCCTATTGAGCCGGGGTGCCGGCCCAAGTACTTGAAACATCTACAACTGCCTCCCAGGGTGTACATTAGCATGAATCTGGTAGGAGAGTCAAAATTCAAATGCAGGCACTCTGATATGGGATGCAGGCATCCAAGTGGCAGCTTAACAGCTGTGCCAAAAGCCTGCCCCAAAAGGTATGGACATTATTTATTTATTTATTTGAAAGAGAAAGGAAGAGAGAGAGACAGAGAGAGAGAGGGAGGGAGACCTATGTTGCTGGTTCACTTCCCAAATGGTCACAATCGCCAGGGCTGGGCCAGGCTGAAGCCAGGAGCCAGGAGCTTCTTCTGGATCTCCAACACGGATGCAGAAACCCAAGCACTTGGGTCACCTGCTGCTGCTTTTCCAGGCACCATTAGTAGGGAGCTGGATCCGAAGCAGAGCAGCCAGAACTTGAACCAGAACCCATATGGGATCCTGGTGTTGTAGGCAGAGGCTTAACCTGCTATGCCACAACACTGGTCCCATGGACATAATTCTTAAACTGCTTCACTGAATTGCCAATATATACCCTAGAGGGCAATTTTGTGAAGAGTGTCAAATGTTTTTAAAAGTGACCCTATGTTTTACTAATTCTTCAACAATTATGGGAAGGAAACCATCAGAAATAGTATCACAGACCTAGGTACTATTTGATAGAAAATTATATAAACATTAAAAAACATACTAAAAAATCAGAAATCACTAGAAAATGCTCCTATATTCAGTGAAAAAAATGAAACAAAACTATATTTACATATACATAAATACATAATGATTATTTTTAAAATAAAATACTAAAATAGACACACAAACAAAATATATATTTATATATATATAAATATAAAATATTTCAAATATGAATGGCAATCTCTGGCAGCCATTTGGGGAGTGAATATAAAATATTTATATATAATTTATATATATATATAAACTACTTCAAATATGAGTGGCAATCTCTGGCAGCCATTTGGGGAGTGAAGCAGAGGATGGAAGATCTCTTTGTCTCTCTCCCTCTCTAATTCTTTCAAATAAATAAATAAATCTTTGAAATATATAAGCCTCTGCCTGCAGTGCTGGCATCCCACATGTGTGCCAGTTCGAGTCCTGGCTGCTTCACTTCCAAACCAGCTCTCTGCTAATGTGCCGAGGGAAGCAGTGGAAGATGGCTCAAGTACTTAAGCCCCTGCAACCACATGGGAAACCAGAAATAAGCTCCAGGCTCCTGGCTTTGGTTTGGCCCAGTTCTGGCCATTATGGCCATTTGGAAAGTGAACCAGCAGATGGAAGATCTCTTTCTCTCTGCCTTTCAAATAAATAAATACATCTACAAAAAAAAAAAAAAAAAGATTATATGCAATGCTGTGGATGGAAATACAAATGTCAACATTTTTCGGAGGAATACATAATAATCATACAGAATTTTAAGGATTCTGACATGTCATCTTTTTTTATCACGTTATTCCACTTTAGCATTAAATAATCATAACATCTGCCAATATAATACTAGAAAAATTGCGATAGAATGTTATTAATAGTGTTTGTAGTAGAAAAAGAAAGCAATGCAACAAGATACTAATTAAACAAATTATAATACATATACTTTATTCAGTTATTAAAATTTAAGCAGGGGGTGCCAACACTGTGGTGTAGTGGGTAAAGCTGCCACCTGCAGTGCTGGCATCCCACATAGTTGCTGGTTCAAGTCCCAGCTGCTCCACTTCCGATCCAGCTCTCTGCCATGGTCTGGGAAAGCAGTGAAGATGCCCAAGTCCTTGGGCCCCTGCACCCGCATGGGAGACCCGGAAGAAGCTCCTGGCTCCTGGCTTTGGATCGGTACAGCGCCGGCCATTGCAGCCAACTGGGAAGTGAACCAGCGCATGGAAGACCTCTCTCTCTCTCTCTATAACTCTCTCTGTATAACTCTGACTTTAAAATAAATAAATCTTTAAGAAAAATAAAAAATATAAAATTTAAACAGGGGCCAGTGCTGCGGCTTAGCAGGTAAAGCCAATGCCTGCGATGCTGGCATCCCAATTGGGCACCAGTTCAAGTCCCAGCTCCTCCGCTTCCGATCCAGCTCCAGGCGAATGTGCCTGGGAAAGCAGTGGAAGATGGCCCAAGTCCTTGGGCCCCCACTACTCACATAAGAAACCTGGAAGAAACTCCTGACTCCTGGCTTTCATCTGGCCCAGCTCTGGCCCTTGCAGCCACTTGGGGATTGAGCCAGAAGTTGGAGGATTTCTCTCTCTCTCTAGCTCTGCATTTCAAATAAATAAATAATGTGGGGAGCAACTGGGAGCAACTCAGACTGTTACTGGAATTAAGACTTATTCTATGCATCTGCTCTCCCACAATATGGCGCTGGGAGAGGAGGAAACAGCTTCTACACAGCTGCCTCCAGTTCAACCAATAAACTGTAGGACCTGCTCCTGACTGGAGGAGAGCAGCGTACTCAGCGTGTGGGTAGCAGAGTTGGGATTGGCGGAAGAGGACTATAAAGGAGGAGAGAGACAACATGAACCAGGAACACCTGAGGAACATCTGAGTAGCCCCCGAGAGAGCCAGCCGGCGGTGTGCCGCTCCCCTGCGGAAGTGGGGAAAGTGGCAGGGGGCCCGCCCCTCCACGGAGGTGGAGGGACGGTAGCCAACCCGGGAAGAACCAGCAGCAAACCCGGGGAGGGCCGAGCAGACAAAAGAACAGCGCAGGGTCCTGTGTTGTTCCTCCACGAAGACGGGGAGCGACATAATGGTGCCGTGACTCGGATATGAAGCCTAGGCAGGGTTTAGTGTCGTTCCTCCATGAAGAGGGGGAGCGACAAAATAAATCTTTAAAAAAATTTTAAACAGCCAATGTTTATTATTAAATAAATGATGATTTCACATGAAGAGCTCTTAGATATCTGGAGGATCAAGTTAAAACCAAACTTCTAAGGGAATTCTGATAATATGACAATAGTCAGCTTTCATGTACATGGCTAAAGATAAACTTCAATTAATATATCTAGTAAGGATTATTAAAAAAATAAATATTAAGTATTTAGTGACTATACATATGCTTGCACACTTAATCCTCAAGTCATCCTTATGAAGAAGGTTCTGTTATTATCATCTCTACTCCATAAGTGGAGAAACCACAGCTGAAAGAATTTGCTTGAGATGAAGAAGGAAGTTACAGGGACGAAATCTGAACCCAGGTATGTCAGTTCAGACAGAGAGAGGTACGTGAGTTCAGATAGTAACCAAGAGCTTGTACTGCAGTTTTCCTTTATATTTGTTTTAAAGAATAACCATTACATATACAAGGACTAGTATTTGTTAAGAAAATGATTTAATGACATCTAATTCAACTGCTATGAATATTGAAAAAGCTTAAGACTTATACACAAATATTTCCAAAGTAAAACAAAAAAACATGGATTTATCCTCTATAGCAAAACCCTGCAAGGCCGGTGCTGCGGCTCACTAGGTAATCCTCCGCCTTGCGGCGCCAGCACACCAGGTTCTAGTCCCGGTCGGGGCGCCGGATTCTGTCCTGGTTGCCCTTCTTCCAGGCCAGCTCTCTGCTGTGGCCCGGGAGTGCAGTGGAGGATGGCCCAAGTGCTTGGGCCCTGCACCCCATGGGAGACCAGGAGAAGCACCTGGCTCCTGCCATCGGATCAGTGCGGTGCGCCAGCTGCAGTGACCATTGGAGGGTGAACCAACGGCAAAAAGAAGACCTTTCTCTCTGTCTCTCTCTCTCACTATCCACTCTGCCTGTCAAAAAATAAATAAATAAAAAAAAAAAAGTAAAAATAAAACCCTGCAGTAATGCACATGTCAATAACTAAAACATGATAGGATTGACAATAGTATTTTAATAAAGATTTATTTATTTATTTGAAAGACAATGTGACAGAAAGAGGAGAGATAGAGATAGAGACAGAGAGAGAGAGAGAGAGAGAGAGTGAGTGAGCTAGCATCTGCTGGTTCACTCTCCAACTAGTCCCAAAAGCTGGGGCTAGTTTTGGTCAGGAGCCCAAAACTCCATCCAGGTCTCCCACATGAGTGGCAGGGGCCCAAGCACTTGAACGATTCTCTGCTGCTTTCCCAGGCACATTATTGGAGAGTTGGATCAGAAGCAGAGCAGTTAAGAATTAAACTGGCATTCCAATACTGGATGCTGGTGTCACAAGAGGTGGCTTAACATGCTGTGCCACAATATCAGCCCCTGCTTGGCCCATTCTTGAATGTGAGCAGACTGAAGTCCTAATAATTTAAGTTGTAGTGGCGCGGGGCACAGACATAGCACGTAGGAGATACAAGCAAGAGCCCTAGTATTTTTCCTGGCCTAAACTAATAGGGAGATTCCTAGAATCAGTTTTCTCAAGAGTTCCAGCTAATCACTGGATCCAGAATTATCCCCACTAATTTTTTTTTCCCAAAGAAATCTTTTATTTAAGGAATACAAACTTCATGCATTTCATAAGTACAACTTTAGGAATATAATGATTCTTCCCACCATACCCACCCTCCCAGCCCCACTCCTACCCCTCTTTCTCCTCCTCTTCTTCCCTCTCCCATTCCTAGTCACATTCTCCAGTAAGATCCATTTTTGATTAACTTTATACGTAGAAGACCAACTCTATACTAAGTAAAGAGTTCAACAACTTGCACAGAAAAACCAAAAAACAAAAAACTGTTCCTCAACAGTAGAGACATGCGCTGTTCCAAGTCATTGCATTTTGAAATTAATATCACTTTTTTTTTTTTAAAGAAACTTAATTAACTTTAAAGAAGCACCCAAGAATGACACATCTTTTGCAAGCACTTAGACATATTTACAATACAACTCTTTAGGGACAGAGGTCCTGAATGGGAAGTTAGTGAACAGTGACTCCTGTTGTTAATTTAACAACATTCTTATGTATGATGTCAGCGATCACCCAAGGCTCTTGACAAGAGCTGCCTCAGCTATGGAAGCCTCTTGAATTCACAAAGTCTATCAGTATTTAGACAAGGCCATAAGCGAAGTGGAAGTTCTCTCCTCCCTTCAGAGAAAAGTACCTCCTTCTTTGATGACCACTTCTTTCTCTGGGGTCTCACCCACCGAGGTCCTTCATGTGGGACATTTATTATCACAGTGTCTTGGCTTTTCATGACTGAAATGCTCTCGACTCCACTGATATTTAAGCAGGAGCATGTAACTGTCACTGGGTAATACCAAACTGCAGCTAGACAGGGAGAAATTTGAATTGAGCAGTTGGACCTCAAGAACTCCTGACTAGTTCAGTTATGCAGGCTTCCTCCATCACTTCATTAACCTCCCAATAATGTTGTTCCTTATTGTGTGAGCCTAAAATATTTTAACTCCATTTCTGTTATGGTGAGGGTTTAGTAATTAATTACCTCTATCCAAGTCTGGTGACATATTCTACACATACACTTACATCAATGGAAGAATTGACGCTGCTCCTTGAGCCTGAGGTACTAGCAATCCAATGACCATATCCATTTTCTGGTCCATCCACATTAATGTCTGCCAGGTGCTGTTGCAGTGCTAAGATAAATACGAAAAGCAAAATAAAACATGAAATCTTAACCCTCTTTGGAAAAACTCATTACCAAAGTACAGGTATTTCTTCCTGCACTTTCACAAAGGAGTAAAGGGACTTTTGGCTACAGCAAACCTTCCTCTTCTTCCTTCTAAGGCCCTCTGTACACAGGTAACTTTTTTTTAAAGATTTATTTATTTATTTGAAAGGCAGAGTTACAGAGAGGCAGAGACAGAGATAGAGAGAGAAGTCTTCCATCTGCTGGTTCACTCCCCACAGATAGCCACAACAGCCAAAGCTGCACCGATCCAAAGCCAGAAAGCAAGAAGCCTCCTTCAGGTCTCCCACACAGGTACAGGGGCCCAAGAACCCAAGCAATTCTCCACTGCTTTCCCAAGCCATAGCAGATAGCAGGATCAGAAGAAGAGCAGCTGTGACTCACCCATAAGGGATTTTACCTGCTAGGCAACAGAGCCGGCCCCCATAGATAACATTTTTTAATCACCCCTGAAGGTGGTGATATTTGCATAGGCTTTATGTTTTCCTTCAGAGAAGGCAACTTTAAGTATTAACATAATCTCTGCAACATTTTTATGACAAAGGATTAACACAAACCTAATGTGGCATTTGTTCTACCAAAGAGAAATCCTAATCAATTCTTCTCTAAATATAAAAAAGCGGTCCTAGGCATTAACAGTTAAGGAAACAGGGACTATTCCTGGTAAAAGAAATAATTCATGGTTTTTCAAAAGTTTCTTTTTCTTTTTTTTTTTTTTAAAGATTTATTTATTTGGCCAGCACGGTGGTGTAGTGGGTAAAGCTGCCACCTGTAGTGCCAGCATCCTGTATGGACACTGATTCGAGTCCTGGCTGCTCCACTTCCAATCCAGCTTTCTGCTATGGCCTGGGAAAGCAGTAGAAGATGGCACAAGTCCTTGGGCCCTTGCACCCATGTAGGAGACCCAGAAGAAGCTTCTGGCTTTGAATTGGCCCAGCTTCGGCTGTTACAGCCATTTCGGGAGTGAACCAGCAGATGGAAGACCTCCCTTTCCCTCTGCCTCTCTGTACCTCTGCCTTTCAAATAAATAAATAAAAGAGCTTCTTCCAGGTCTCCTATGTGGGTACTGGGGCCCAAGCACTTGGGCCATCCTCCACTGCTTTCTCAGGTGCATTAGCAAGGAGCTGGATTGGAAGTCAAGCAGCTGGGACTCTAACAGATGCCCATAGGGGATGCCAGGGCCACAGTGCTGGACCCTCAAAAGTTTCTAAAGTCTAGACAATAATACAAAAAATGCTCTGTGGAGCCTTTTTAGAATTACAAGTCTAATAACCAAGCTTCAGGATTCCTAACAAATAACAACGGACATTGGGGTAGTACTTGTTCAGCATTAATTAAAAGAATCCCTTTTGTAGATAACCCAGGGTAGGAGCCTCAAAAATAGTCAGCTATCAGGTCATGATACATATGAGATAGCGAAAATCCTTGATAATATCAGTAAAGGCAAAAGTATATAATACATCCTAATTTATCAGAAATTCTAAGAAACAGAATAAAAATTATATTATGTTAGAACTTATTTCATATAAGACTGCCATGATTAAAACCCAAAATTCAGTTACTTTTGGCATCTATAGATTTGATTTTACCATTAATTTCTCCCAGTATTTACAGTTTAGTACATTCATGATATCACTTTTTCTAATATAAAAAATGCTCTGTTTTAATCTTACTGCCATAAAGCAATCCTTCAAAATTATCAAATACTTGCCTGCAGAGATCTTTCCAATTTTACTATTGTAGATTACTATATATTATTCTGCAGATTTGAAAATACAGCTTGTTTTATTCCATTTGGACAACATTTAGCTGTTACTACATTTAAAATGATGGGCTGGCATTGTGTTAAACCACTGCTTGTGATGCTGGCATCCTGTTATCAGAGTGCCAGTTTGAGTCTCAGCATCCTTGCTTCTGATCCAGATTCCTGCTAATGCACATGGGAAGGTGGCAGAAGACGGCCCAGGTACTCAGGCCTCTGACACCCATGTGGGAGACCAGGACAGAGTTTCTGGCTCTAAGCATTGGCCTGGCCCAGCCTTGGCCATTGCAACCAGTTGGGAGGTGAACCAGGAGACTGCAGATCTCACTCTGTCTTTCAAATATATATATAAATAAGTAAATATTTTAAAAATATAATAAAACTATAAATAAAACTGCCAAACAGAACGAAGGGTATACAGAGAAAAGGATACCTCGAACTTTCATTTCTTGGTCCCTCCAACTCCTCTTTAGAGGCAAATAATACAGGTAATTTTTCATGTAGTTTTACAGAAATATTAAGCTAATTAAACACATTTATTCAAATAGTATTTCATCAAATATTCACTCATGTCAATTACCTGTTATGTTTGTCTGCTATCTATATGTTCTTGCTGGCCTGTCTTTTCTGAAAATCTTGAATGACTAAACAGAAAATCTATTCTTTTACTAATATTGTTATTCCTTTTTTAAAAAAATTTTTTGAAAAAGATTTTATTTATTTATTTGAGAGGTAGAGTTACAGACAGGAAGAGGGAGAGACAGAGAGAAAGGTCTTTCATCTACTGGTTCACTCCACAAATGGCTGTAATGGCCAGAGCTACGCCAATCTGAAGCCAGGAGCCAGGTGCTTCTTCCTGGTCTCCCAAGTGGGTGCAGGGGCCCAAGCACTTGGGCCACCTTCTACTGCTTTCCCAGGCCATAGCAGTGAGCTGGATTGGAAAAGGAGCAGCCAGGACCAGAAATGACGCCCATATGGGATGCCGGCGCCACAGGCGGGGGATTAACCTACTGTGCCACGGCACCGGCCCCACTAATATTGTTATTCCAAATCAGCTCTGCTTATAATTAATGTAATTTTCTCTAAAAAGCAGAGACAAATAAATTAACAAATTAAATCTTACCCATAAATCCTCCACTGGCAATACTCACATATTCTTTGTTTTTCTGTAACAGAAAATTAAATTTAAATTACAAAATGCAACTTAATTAAAGGTTCTGATAGTTCTAAAACATTGGTAAATGTTTATATATTATATGTTTGCATTTTATATGTATTATATGGCTACCCATTAAATGTCTAGACTTTAGCACAGAGAAAATAGACATTTACTTTGTGTAATGTAAGGTCTGGGAAGAAGGGGACAACTTCCTTGCTATTAACAAGTCTGTTGATTATTATTTTAGTGTAGTCACAATAATGGGATACTAAAATCAAAATAATATTTTATGATATAATCAGAGTCATTTCTAAAAGCTTGCATAATTTTATATCCTTTATAAAAAAAGCAACACATCTGGAAATAGTACAGTTAATTATTAAGAATGACAGAATGTTACGATTTTGCAAGCCATTAAAAACATAATGCATCTAAGTAATGATAGAGAGAGAAAGAGAGAGAGACTCACACACATAAGACATCTGGACAGTATTTGTCACCAACTCAAAGAAAACTCCGCCTCTCCAGGACCCCTTGCCTCCAGCAATCTAACCTAGATGTCTATAACCTAAATACCAGCCTACAGGAAATACAAGGGACAAAGCCTGACAAATGATACTGTGTGAATCTAAAGAGCAAAATCCAGGATGTAGGAAACTATACAACAAATTAATTGCGCTTTTTTCAACAAATACATGCAAAGAAAAAAGAGAAAGAAGGAATCTGTAAATTAAAAGAGGTGTATGGTTACAGGACATCAATAAAATGCAATGTCCCATTTTAGATACTAGGAAGAATAGAGAAAATTGCACAGATTAAAAAAAGTATAATTATTATATGATTATATTATAAAGAAGTTAAGTATTCAACTCTTAACTTTTCAATTCTTTGAAATGTTCCATGATACAAACTTGGGGAAAATTTTCTGTAACTTCATAGCTCTGTTGTGGCATAGTGGGTAAAGCTGTTGCCTGTGATGCTGGCTTTCCATACACCACCAGTTCAAGTCCCAGCAGCTCTACTTCCAATCCAGCCCCTTGCTGATGTGCCTGGGAAAGCAGTAGAGGTTGGCCCAGGTCCTTGCACCCATGTGAGAGATCCAGAAGAAGCTCCTGGCTCCTGCCTTTGGTCTGGCCCAGGCTCCTAGCTGTTGTGGCTATCTTGGGAGTGAACCAGCGAATGGAAGATTTCTCTGTCTCTCCCTCTCCCTCTTTCTGTAACTCTGCCTTTCAAATACATAAAATAAATCTTTAAAGAAATTTTCTATAACTTTATCAAGAATTTGAATAAAAAGTCACGTATTGAAAACCCTTGCTATATTGCAGTTCTCACAATATAGTTTACACTGAAACTTTTTTTTTTTTTTTTTGACAGGCAGAGTGAGACAGTGAGAGAGAGACAGAGAGAAAGGCCTTCCTTGCGTTGGTTCACCCCTGAAATGGCCACTACGGCTGGCGCGCTGTGGCCGATCCAAAGCCAGGAGCCAGGTGCTTCTCCTGGTCTCCCATGCGGGTGCAGGGCCCAAGCACTTGGGCTATCCTCCACTGCCTTCCTGGGCTACAGCAGAGAGCTGGACAGGAAGAGGAGCAGCCGGGACAGAACCGGTGCCCCAACTGGGACCAGAACCCGGGGTACCAGCACTGCAGGCGGATGATCAGCCCAGTGAGCCACAGCACCGGCCCACTGAATCATTTTTAAAAATAGGCCAGTTAAATGTATGAGTAAAATGTGTTTGGGGGGCTTTGTGATGCGGTGGGTTAAGCCACTGCATCTCATATTGGAGTGCTGGTTTGAGACTCTGCTACTCCACTTCCCATCCAGCTCTTTGTTAATGTTTTTGAGAAGGAGCAGATGGCCCAAGTACTTAGGCCCCTGGAAACTATGTAGGAGACCAGGTTGGTGCTTCAGGCTCCTGGTTTTAGCATGGCCCAGTCCCAGAGTTGTGGCCATTTGGAAGAGAGCCAACGAGTAGGATGATCTCTCTTTCTCTCCTTTCTCTGTTGCTCTGCCTTTCAAAAAATAAAAATCTTTTTAAAAATGTGCTTGGGTTCCTATTTTTGTTATTCTATATAAGTGTATAAGATCTTTAATAAGATTTAAAACTATTTTACAATTACTCCCCCAAATACCTTCTTCCTTTTCTGGCTTTGCCTTCAAGAATTTTAGATTGATTTTCTCAAGCCAGATTCCCAGTAAGATACAACATGAATATAAAATAATTCAAATGAAATAATTTGTTAACACCATGCTTACATGTAATCTTTGATTCCACAGCTCAAGATGATACAAAGTAAGGACTTGGTATAAAGTACCAAAAACACTTAATAAGTCATAATTTTTATGTAAAGAAAGAGTCATTATTGAATGAGGTTTTACGTTTTATAGATATATATATACATATATACATATACATACATATATATTTATATATATAAATCTTTATATATATATTTAAAGGCAGAGTTACATAGAGAAGGACAGAGAGAGAGAGAAAGAGATGTTCCATCCGCTCATTCCCCAGATAGCCTCAATGGCCAGGGCTGGGCCAGGTCAAAGCCAGGAGCTAGGTGTTTCTTCTGGGTCTCCCATGTGGATACAGGGGTCCAGAGACATGGGCTGTCTTCTGCTGCTTTCTCAGGCACATTAGCAGGAAGCTGGAGAGAAAGTGGAACACCCACTGGCGCCCATATGGGATGCTGGTGCCACAGGCCATGGCTTTAACCTGTTGAGCCACAGCGCAGCTCCCGAGTGAGATTTTGAAGGAATGCAGAGGGATAGGTTGCATTAGTTTTGCTGAAAACAATATTCAGACACAAAAAGGAAAGATGCTGAGTGTCATGAGTAGATATGCGTGTATGTTTATTCATTTTTTTCTTTTGTTAAGATTTATTTATTTCATTTGAAAGCCAGAGTTACATGAGAGAGAGAAGAGACAAAGGGAGAGAAAGAGGCGGAGACAGCGTGAGCGGAGAGAGCGTGAGCTTCCATCCATTGTTTTACTCTCCAGATGGCCTTGACAGCCAGGCCTAAGCTAGGGCCAGGAGCTTCTTCAGGGTTTCCCCTGGGTGCAGGGGTCCAAGGACTTGGGCCATCTTCCACTGCTTTCCCAGGTACATTAGCAAGGAGCTGGATCAGAAGTGGTAGTCAGGACTTGAACTGGAGCCTATATGGAATACCAGTGTCATAGGCAGTGGCTTAACCCACTGTGCCACAGCACAGGTCCCTGTTTATTCATTAAAATGAATGTAATAGTTAATGTAAAAAGTATCAAGGTATGAATATGGATAAAGATTAACATAACAGAGTATCCTAATGCATAGAGGAATTCAATATACTAAAAAGGTAGTATTTCAAATTGACAAGTTATCTATCAAGGAAAAGCATTTTTTTCATGCCTGTCACTTTATACACAGCAATAAACTACTGATGGTTCTAGACTTAAAGTTAAAAAGTAAACTATATAAAGATGTGAGAAAGCCGGCACCGCGGCTCACTAGGCTAATCCTCCGCCTTGTGGCGCCGGCACACCGGGTTCTAGTCCCGGTCGGGGCGCCGGATTCTGTCCCGGTTGCCCCTCTTCCAGGCCAGCTCTCTGCTGTGGCCAGGGAGTGCAGTGGAGGATGGCCCAGGTGCTTGGGCCCTGCACCCCATGGGAGACCAGGATAAGTACCTGGCTCCTGCCATCGGATCAGCGCGGTGCGCCGGCCTCAGCGCACCGGCCGTGGCGACCATTGGAGAAAGGAAGACCTTTCTCTCTGTCTCTCTCTCTCACTGTCCACTCTGCCTGTCAAAAAAAAAAAAAAAAAAAAAAAAAAAAAAAAAAGTGAGAAAAACTTGAAGATGACCTGTTTTGGCAAAATATAAAACCAAGCAGCTAGAAAGGAAACTATAGATAAATATGACAGTATATATGAAGCAAAAAAGTTATCCGTGCAAACTTCTTCAAGATGAAAGCAACAACCAAGCCAAAGTGAAACAATCTATGTTAGCATACCTGTAAAAAGTGTGCCAGAACCATATTCATATACATGTCTTCTTCTTCTCTGCCACTACCCATAAAACAGAGGTGCTCCCCACCAGCTATGGAGCCAGACTCAATGGACTGCTTCTGTGCTTCCAGCAAGGATTTTACTGATTGTGCAAACTCGGATGGATTCTGGAGCATCTAGACAATTAAAAAAATTTTTTCTTAAACTTGTCAGGCCCATGCTTCACATACATTTGCAAAGCTTAAAGAGTGAAAAAGAAACACGCGAAATCCCTGGGAAAAGAGAAAAAAAAATGGATCTATAATACATCAGAACAAAAGTTGAAAATTCACAGAAAGATTAAATTATGAAAAATAATATTCTATTAGAGAAAATTTTGTTGTTGTTTTTAAAGATTTATCTATTTGAAAGTCAGAGTTACACACAGAGAGAGAAGGAGAGGCAGAGAGAGGGAGAGGTGTATTCCATCCGCTGGTTCACTCCTCAATTGGACGCAACAGCTGGACCTGTGCCGATCCGAAACCTGGAGCCAGGAGCTTCTTCCAGGTCTCCCATATGGGTGTAGGGCCCCAAGGACTTCAGCCATCTTCCACTACTTTCCCAGGCCATAGCAGAGAGCTGCATCGGAAGTGGAGCAGCCAGGGCACGAATCGGCATCCATATGGGATGCTGACACTGCAGGCGTCAGCTTTATCCGCTACACCACAGCATCGGCCCCATGTTGGTTTTTGTTTTTCCCCTAACAGACAACATGCCATGGTGTCATAACAAAAAGACTTTAACATTGAATGGAAGAACTCGTGACTAACAATAATAGCTCAAAACAAGCTCTATTTTTTCACTCCATTTACATACCAAACCATGTATCTCTCAGTTCAGTCACAAATAGTAAATGACACTTATTTGACAGTACTACTCTAGGTTTGGAGATATAAGGATGAAAATTCATTTAGCTACAAAATTTTTTAAAAATTTATTTATATTTTATTTGAAAGGTAGCGGGGAGGAAAAGTTGGAGGGACAGTGAGACAGGAGACAGAAAGAGATCTTCCACCTGCTGGTTCACTCATGAAATGCTTGCCAACAGCCAGGGCTGGGCCAGACCAAATTAGAACTCAATCCAGGTCTCCCAGGTGAAGGCAGACACCCAAGTAGCTGAACCATTACTTGCTGCCTCCTAGGATACACACTAGCGGGAAGTTGTATTGGAAGCAGAGGAGCCAGTATTCCAGT